CAGAGGGTTATGGTGAAATTATAACAAGTGGTTTGTAATGATACCTGGTTGGTGGTTTCAACCGAACCCCTTGAAAAAGTGATGGAGTTCGTCAGATTGGATCATCATCCCCAATCTGGTTGGGGAAAATATATGTTCCAAAATCACAACCAGCTGAACAGTATGGCTTTGGATTTTTTTCTGATACGAACAGTCGTTTAAAAAGTTTTCGAATCCAGCGAAATCATGGAGCCACAAGACTGTGGAATAGGCATGGAACCGGAGATACAAACTGCCATGCAGGCAATGTGATGGCCTGTGGAGATCAAAAAACCTCCAATTGGTGGTAAAGCATACTTAGATGGGCCATGGGATTAGCTAACTGGTTAGTAACCGGGGATACAACCCCCAATATCCCAATTATAATCCACTTATTAACTAGTTAACTAACTCCATGGCCCATCTAAGTATGTTTTTTTCCCCTGATAGGGTGCTCCAAAAAAAAAATCCTCAACTCCGGCGGACTCCGGCGTCGCGGACTGGGAAAGCCAACGAGCTGCGCACGCTGCGATTCATGGTCTTGGGAGATTGGCTTTGGAAGGAGTCCTCGGATCCGGGGATGGCCAGGTTAACCTATCGACATATCGTTACAATTACCCTCTGGTAATTTAACGTACCTATTGAAAATGACCATTTATAGTGGATTTTCCCATTAAAAATGGTGATTTTCCATAGTTATGTTAGTTTACCAGAGGGTAGCGTTGAGTTCGATATAGTGCTGATAGATATACCATCTGGTTATGACTAACAGTTTGCCATGGAAAGATCCACCATGCTATTAATAGGTAAACCATCTATTTCTATGGGCCATCGAAAAACCATGGCTATGTTAGTCGTAACCAGAGGGTAGTAATCGAATTTCATATCACTTGGATATCTCATAAGACGGTGGTCCAGTTGGGTTGTCCCATGACCATGTACGAACCCGGATTGGAACACCAAACAGAATCCGAATAACATGCCTCTTCAGTAGATCTTCAGAGAAAGGTCCAATACAGGATGGTGCCCCCCAGTTATAAGTCGGTTTATAAACCCCATTAACTATAGTTATATCTACCATAAACCATAGTTATGGGAGTTATAAACCGACTTAGCTAACTATGGGGCACCACCTTGTAGACAATGGTTCAAATGGGATATCAATGGGGATATGATGGGATGTATAGCCAACTACAGTTGGTTGGATTAGATAGTTGGATTAGAATGGATTAGATGCACTTGGGTCATTCTGGTCATTCTTATTGCACTGTTCAAGACCAAACATGACATATCCCAAACATTTGACTCTGTTGTCAAAGAGGTTTGGAGGGAAACTTTGCACACCAGATTTATTACATCTCCATGATTCTTATACTTCCAGCTGGCTGCTGGTCGATTCGAGAGATTCTTTTCGGGTGTTTAAGGCAATCGACATACCCTCAATGCAACATACCTCGCTTGCGAATGGCCATTTTATATTTAGATGCCGATTTATGTGGGATTTCCGCTACCCTCTGGTAAACTAACATAACTATGGACAATCACCATTTTTAATGGGAAAATCCACTATAAATGGTCATTTTCAATAGCTACGTTAAATTACCAGAGGGTAGCCAGTGACTCGGTGACAGCATTTCCTGTGCCGCCCCCTGAGAGTCCCACCATCGAATACGAGGTGTGCAAATCTCTCGCTGCCGGTTTCTCCTGGGATTCCTGGGCCGAGATCATGGCGACTGGAGTCACAACTCACTTCTGGATATGTATGATACATACCTACAGTATTTGTATCTATATATCTATATATATATACCTACCTACAGTATATACATATATACCTACAGTATATGTATATTCTATATACTGTGTATATACACACCTGCGGTGTACATGTACATATATATATATATTACATTATACAACATTATATACAAACTAACTACAAGAAGTGTCAACGCACCATGGATGGGGTCATAACTCGCCTCGCCTCCTCCTTCGGCTGTGCCTCACGGAGGATGATGTACGTCATGGTGTCATTCATATCAGAAGGGGTCCGATATTTCGTATATACTGCTATACTGCTATATATATATATATAACATAATCTATGAACAGTATATATATATATACCTAGAGAACCGAGTTGCTAATAAAAAATGGCAACAGACAGAAGTCGCATAAAAAATGATCACTATTTAAAAGTTGTATGTTTTGCGTTTCTTGGACATGTTGCACTCCAACTGTGCCACCCTTGAACTGCCCACCCACCGGTGACCAACATGTTCCTTTTTACCCATGCTCACCTAAGTTCATCAAGTACAGCATCATGGTTCTTTCATGGGCATGCTGTAGCACACCAGTACGTGACAAGGCCGCAATGCGGCCAACAAAATCTTCATCCTGCTGGCAGCTCCATGCAAGGGGGGATAAAACGCATGGATTCTCATTTGTCAAGTCTTCTCGACTAGCATCACCCAACTGCCTGACCATTTCATGAACAATGTGGGTCAAGGCATGGTGTTTGGGAGGAATTTTGAAACGAGTCTTCCCAATGTCGTGGGCGAACTGCGCACATTCCAAATAATGAGTTTGGAAATCCATGCCATACGTGGAAATTCGAGATGCCTCCGAAGGCCGTAGCCACAAGCCCGAATGGTACAACCCACCCAAAAATTTGTTCACGCTTCTAGCGCCCTCATAGACACTACACCGCAAGTCATCCCACATCTCAGATACATCCAAATGCAAAAATTTGTGTTCCACAAATTTCGCCACAGCAGTTGTGTCGGCCCCATTGAACCACATCCTTGGCTGGAAAGTGTTGGGTTCCGTAAAATTCTGCAAAGAAAGGTCTTACCATTGCAAAGGACATGACCACCAACAAAATCAAATCAATCGTTATTTGCAACTATGGTTCCCACATGGGTAGTCACAGTCTTTCGAAAGGTGGACCAACGTCCTAGTAAGTCCGGTCATGTGGAGAGGGATTGCTTCCTGTGTGCAGTAATGGGATAGCTCATCAAAGATCTTGCTGAGCCGGGTGGGGACATCACCAGCGCCCATGCAGTCCATATCCATGAGAAGTACCTCAGGTTCAAGCAGTAGCTGGAACATTTTAAATGCGACTTCTGTCTGTTGCGAATTTTATTAGTAACTCGGTTCCCTAGGCATAGGTATTTAAAGACCACCATTCCGACAAAGAAAACAAACATGCTCTGCACATGATAAGGGGCCAAAGCAGATCCGGTAAATTCTGCAACAATTCCTTTGTGCATAACATGGAATATGTCAAACTGGAAAAAGGTTTCCGGTTGTGGTGGTAGCGGTAGACGTGTAAAAGCTGGAGCTCGGTTCCACGGGCGATCCTGCAAATAAGTTTCGTACCATTTGGCATTGATGCCGCAGTCATGAAATGGAAAGCCATCAGACCCTGCTTTGCACAGGTGGCAAATACAGCTCTGTGATGAAGGGCGACCTCTTCGTAAGAAATGTTGGGTAAAATTACCCATCTTGGATAACATGGGCCAATCCCCCTTGAAAGCAAGAGGGACTATGTAAATCTTCACCCAACTTCCTCCCAATTCGATCTCCAACCCGTTGTTGTAAAGGTTGACAAAATCATCAACCACTGCTCCAACTAGCTGCTTCAAATGATCTTTGCCTTTGTTTTTCCGCCGGTAATATTTGCAAGCCAAAGTCGCCAGAAGGAACCTGTTGCTGAAAGTGTTTCCCTGAAAATTCAAGCCTTGTTCATGTGTTGTTGGACCCTTGGATTGAGCTAGGCAGGTACCCCTTCCAAGGATGCCTTGAAAGTTCATGATCCAAATTTGCTCCTTTTTCACACATTGCCCTTCGTCAGCATGAAAAGCTACTGGGATACATAAGCCAAGGGGTTTCCCATCCGAGAAAACTGGATGATCAGGGTGGATTTGTCGATACCGGTTCCAGAATGTTGACACCACTTCCATAGACTCACCTCCAAGCAAGCATTCCTCAAATTTGGAGTTCAAACTCATTACTTTGATCAAGTCAGAGGCCTTGAGGAAGGGAACATCCCGATCAATACCAATGTCCAAAGATGTCACAGGCACACGAACTTTCAAGCCATGTTGTTCGTAGACAGCCCGGCTTTGATGTTCATGGCGTGTGTCCGATGCACGGCTGAAAGCTTTGAGGAGGCCAGAACTCTTCAAGGGAAGGTCTGAGTCAATTTGTTCACATTCTTGCCAAAAACCGCTGGCAATAGAACAAATCCATCTTTCTGGTACCTTAATCATTGGGAGAAGCCACGCCCGGGTGGCCAGAAATCAAAAAGATTCAATCCCAACTTTGAAAATATGTTGAATTGATTTTCAGCCAGGGTGTCAAAAGTTAAACCACTAATTCCATGACAGTGGGCCCCTTTGGCAGAAGCTTTGGCCAAAGCTTTGGCTGCTGGCCCTGGTTCCTTTGCAGGTCCTCGACGTTGTGCTTCACCTGCGTTGGGTGAGGCGAGCTCAACCGATGGCAGGGTACATGTGGGGCAATCGACATATTATATCACACACAACCATATCGCCACATGCATGGATATCACACATACATGAACTGCGTTGAGAATGCCGCAGTGGACGGCTATTTCATGAATGGAGATGAAGTCCGATAATTCAATTCACTTTTGCATCTTTTTTGCCCAAACCACGCGTGGCAGCTTCAGCCATTTGCACGTGGTGAAATGTCTCTATCTTAAGATTGTTTCTGAATGTTATCACTCAGAACTAATGAACCCCATGTAGATTTGATCTGCATGAAGGATACCCTCATGACAGGTGCTGTGGCAAAAGCGGCAAAGCATGCCAAACCCCCCTCAGCACGTGATGCTATTCTCGTAAACACAATGTGGAAAGCAATCTTTCCAACCATGGACCATGGACTTTCAAAGTATAAAACAAATGAATTCGTTTCAAAAATGATCAAACTTCAAAAGCCAAACATCACACCGCTGTTCACTTTTTGCCCGTTTTTTTGGGCTTTGGTGCAGCCTTGCTTTTTGCTTTTTTGGGGGGCTTGGGAGTAGGATCTGCTTCCGACTCCGAAGCATCATCGTCATCTCTCCTGCGCTTGGAAGGCTTGGACTTCTTCTCAGGCTTCAAGATGGTCCTGAGCGAAGCCCCCAGCACGGGATGGCCCCAAAAAGGCATGTATAGGCCCAACATGGCCCCAACACAGCCCCAAAACCAGGTGATCCCCTGTCTATGGAGGTTTTAAAAAAATATACCAACCGAAACCTGTTCGGTTGGAATATTTTTTGGCGCTATTTGGGGGGTATGTATGTTGGGTGCATGTAGCACTAAAGTCAAGGAACTTCTTGAGCTTGTTCTGTTCCATGACTGCCTTGGAGCACCTAAGTTGCGAGATGTTGAGGTGAGTGCCCTCATTGCAATCAGTGGCTGGCACCTTTTATGTTCAAAACACAGAATTGACATTTCAACAACGAAGGGTTCCCACGATATGAGAGCCCCACTCCGACTCCACATTGCGGAAAATCTTTTTGAGTTTCTCTGTATTCCTTAGGCTCTGCCAGGATGGGATTATGAAACTGAGACACCAATGTTCCAACAACAAGTTTTTGGTTTCATATATAGTGACGTATACTAGCACCATAAAAGAAAGGCGTCTCCTGCGACAGCTTCTTGTCAGCATCATACGTGGCCTTGAGGTCTGCAATCTCGTCATGGAGCTTCATCAATGAAGTGGCGCGGTCCTCGACACTCTTGGCAGACCTTAGCCAATTAGTCAAGGAACGGGATGGGCATAGTCAATATGTATAATTAACATACAGTACATGGTTCTTACTTCGGGATGTTCCATTTTATTTGAAGCCCAGATTCTCTTTGGAAGCGGTGGTGTCCAACTTGTTCAACTTGGGGACCAAGTCAGTAAGTTGGGCACATGTCTTCAAAATGTTCTCCAACATGGGTTCGACATTCTCAATCTCCTCGATCGATTGAAAATTGAAAATCATATCGTAATTGGAAAAGTAGAATACACGGAATTGTTATATATATATATGTCTAAAGAAATAGCCAACCTTTGGATGATAGTGTTGCATGGGAAACCCGATATGCACAAAGACTATAGCAGGAAGCTCTTGCCTCCAATGGGTCTTCGCGGGAAAATGACCTCCCCCTCCGGCGTCGACGATCATCATGACCCTCTGACTTGCGTTTGCGGCCACGGGTGTTGGAGTGAGAACGGTTGCTCTGATTGTCATCATCATCTTCGCTTTCATTCATAGAAACAGACGCAAGATGACTTTCACCATCGATTTTTCCAAATTCATCATTGTTGTCCCAGCCCTCATCATTCATGTCCATGGTCAAGGTCCTAGACTGATCCCGTCTCACTTCTTTTTCAACGGAGCCGATAATGTCTTTCTCAACCCAGAAGAGCTCAAGGTCCGGTTGGTACTTGTCTGTCCTGGCTAGTAAATCAATTGGGATGGATATATATATATATTTATATATATACATATACATTATTATTACATAATTGTTCTTACTATATCATGTGCTTTACGGAAGACTTGCTCAAATGCCATACATTTACACTTTTGTTTGCCCAGATCCATCAGGTCCTGATCCACTTGGCCTTCGGATACTTCTTGTGCATCAGACGGCAATACTTCTTGGCCGCTTTGATTTTCTGCCTGGATGCGCGGGGTGTATATGAGGATATATGGTTTTCAATTCTGGTGGGAAAACCCAGGTCGGGTGACAATTTCCACAAAAACATATTTTTGGATTGACCCTTTAACAATGGTTTGTTGGATTAACTATTAATCTGTGGGGTTCCCATGCTATAAACGGCGAACAAAAACTTTAAACCATATCGCACTGGTGGTTTCACGAAGCAATGCGGTTCCTCTGTTTTTCTTTGGTGGATTTTTTGTAGTGTTGGTGTTTGGAACCAAGTATGCAGTTAAGAAGCTCGGGCCATTTAAGATCATCCTTCATAGACGCCGCCGAATGATACCCTACATTGACCTTCACAAGACCCCGCTTGCTATTGGTGATCCGAAGCTCAGCTTGTCGAACAAACCGATCCTTAGCCAACATCATTAGATAAGAGGATAAGTCGGACGACCAAAGACCAAACCTGGTGTATATATATATATATGTGTGTGTGTGTCAAAACAAATATATACATCGATCTTTTCTAGGCGAGACTCTCGGGTCCCACCAGCTTTGTAGAACATGCGGATCAAGTCATCCCTTTTGGAGCCACCCGCAAAAAATTGTTTGGCAATCTCATCGCTGACTTTCGCCTTACCAGTTTTGGGGTTCTTGCGGCAAAGTCGGCGGATAGTTTGCTCCGCAAGTCGGTTGGGGTCCAAATCTTTGAGAGCAACCTGGTCCAGCTTCTTCTTCAAGAATGAGGGCGCCTCATGAAAGGCTAACATTCATAACCTCCCATTGCTCACTGCAGATTGAAATTGAATGGGGTTAAATTTCATGGGTGACTAAAGATGGGTATATTTTTCAAAATGGGGGATGCTCGAAAATATATGAAAAATAATAATTTGAAGTATTTTCGAGCATCCACCATTTTGAGAAATATGCCAAAATGTCAAATATATATATATGTCAATGTCGACAGTTCTTCTGTAAACCCTTGGTTCCATTATCCCTTTTCTAACATATACTTTGAAGAAAACAAACCCGCTCACCGCACCACTGCCTTTCGAACGCTGGGGCGTGTTGAAACACGGCCAGCTCGAACTGGAGTTGGGGTCTGGGACGGTGAATATCCAGACTTTGGCGATGCAACCTGCCGTGGGCAATTTTCTTTCAAGTTTGGTGGATGATGAATACAGTATTTCAATGATATCAGAAAACATCAACTTGGTGTTTCTTTTTGCCACACATCAACAGAAATTCTTAATAGTTAACTATTGCACATGCTACCCTATCTTCAAACTTGCGAAGTCAAGTCCTGAAAATATATAAGGTTAAAATAGGTTAAAGAATCCTGACTCAACTCCATAATCTCTGGTATTTCTCAACTCATGATATGAACGACTATTATAAACCCTTTACCCGCCTCATCCATCCTGTCATCTCCGTCAGTTGCATCTCCAATCACCTGCGGATGTTCACGAAAGGGTTCTGGAGGAAAATGATTGTACACTGGGATGTATATCTTTTCATGAAATGACAACAGTTCATATGATATCACATTGTTGTGGATCCAATTGATGAAGGGGAGCTACAAATTGCAATGCATGACATGCATGCAGTACAATGATATACATGATCTACATATATCGTGTGCATGATATAATATATATATATATATAATATATATATATATATCCGTATATATATATAATATATAAATATATTACGGGAATGTCTCAAAATACTGGGACCTGAAAAGTCCGAAACTTTGTTATTTAATCGATCAAGAGAGTCCCCTCCTATTTTGAGACATTCCCATGTAGGAAAATGTGCAGTGATGCAGGTGAAAACACATGGTACCAATGATGCGCAAATGATGCACTAATGTTACACATCTGTTTTCACCATCGAGGACAAGAAATATCGATCATTGATCTAATGCTAGTGGGCAGCTGGTCTGAATAATATGATATCATGAAATATCTGATGGGTTACCCTTACTTAGTCAGCGGGTTCCCTTGCCCAAAAAGGTTTAAACTTTAAACTCTTTTTTGGTTGGGTTCGCGCGCCATTTTTGGGTGTGAAATAGATACCCCCCGGCGCGCGAACCCAACCAAAAAAAAGAAAGCTTAAAGTTTAAACGCTAGCTGCTGGGTCAGCTTATCCCCTGTGAGCCGAACTTGAGGCCAAACCCAGTGAAGATCCAACGCCAAGCTGCAGACGGAGGCAGGGATGTGAAGTAAGATGATAAGGCATCATCATCGATGGAGTCATCCACGAAGCCCTTTTCCTGAGCTGCAGGGGTAAGGCCAATATTTATTTATTTGGGGTTCACGGATGCAAAATAAATAAGTATAAATAACTATATATATAAATAAATAACTATATATATATATATATTTTATATATATATATATATCAAACACAATATGAAGTCAAGCTTCCTTAGAATCAGCATTCTTAGGAGTAGCGCCCAATTTCAATGGGGATGCCAAGGATGGGCAATATGGATCATCGACCAATAGGGGACCTTGAGGATCAACTGGTGGATCTGCTGCACGAACAGGGGTTGGTACAGGTCTAGCCCTAGGTCTTACTCCCACTACCTTCTCAACTTCTGTGTCAGCTGCTGGGATGGTCTCAGCAGTGGTGATGTCAAATGAGGGAGACATAGGGGATGGGGATCGACAACCACGCCTTGTTGTTCGAGGTGGAGTTTTAAATGACTCACCATCATTCGATCCAGTGTCCACACCATTGCTGCCCACCCCCTTTGCTAAATCTGCCAAACCCTCAGCCCCACCACCCAATGCTGCATTGGTATGGGAACCAGCGTGACTGGAGTCAGGGTGTGCAATGCCTTCTTGGGGTGCATGTTCTTGGGGTGCATGATCACCTGCTGAACCACCTGCCACACCACCTGCTGAATCAGCTGCTGAATCACCTGCTGAATCATCCACAGTGCTTGGGGCAACAGGTTCTGCAAGTGTTGCTGGGACTGGCATGGGTTCGACATGTGCTGGTGGGGCGGCAGCCACACCTGCCTGTCCTGTCTTCGAAATCTTTGCGTGAATAATCCGCGCCGTCACTTGAGCTTTCAAAGCATCTCGCCGAGCCTTCAAAGCCTCAAGTTAACCCACAGAATCCAACCAGAAAGCGCGACCTTTGTCCCCTCAAAATGAAATGAAACATATATGTCTCGAAAAGGTCGCCCCTTGAAGGAGGGGTTCAAAACCTGTTGACCTTTCTTGGGATGGGGACCATGAATTAGTTGAGCTCAAAAGGACAGGTTCAGTGGTTTGAAATGATCGTTGATGGCAGTAGCCTTATGGCAATTTATAATCCCCTGCATGAATACATTACCTGACAAGAAACTTCTAGCGAATCTTGCCACTATTGTTCGGTCTTCACCCCGACTTGCTGGTTAACATAGCTCATCCCACGTGCTAAGCTGTTCATGCTGTGCGACTTTTTGACGTGCGACATGCCTGGATATCGCACTATGCACCTTGAGCCCTGTATATGCGAATCAAAAAGGTTCAAATAGGTTCCAAAATGTTCCAAAATGTGCGAAAATTGTCCGTACGCTTTCGTACGCGTATTTGTTGCAACTTTGTTACGTTTTTGTTGCACCCGTATCACTTTCGTACGCGCCCAAATTCGCACAAAAAGTGCGAACAAATGCGCGCAAAACATTTTTTTCGCACATAATTCATTCGGCAGATTGACCATGTCTGCGGCTAAGCGGTCCTATTGACCCACCACACTCCATGGGATATGCTCCGCCAAGTTGGGTGGAACATCCAAATACTTAGAGGTTTTTAAATAGCTAAGCACGTCAGCCAACCCTGCATCCTCCCAAAGGTCAGTCCAATCAAGACTGTTGATGAAGTCGGCGTTGATAGCCGTTGGGGTCGAAGTGCTCCCCGTCACCTGCACAGGCCACACGTGCTTGAGATTCCAGCCAAGAGGCACAGACCCTGGGTGTGAGGAGTTGGTTATATAATAGAAATTATATTACTCAAAATGAGGTGCCCTTTTTCACCCATATAAGGTATACAATAACAGGAAAAAAGGGCACCTCATTTTGAGACGGTTTATTACAGTGATGTTGTTCGATAATCAATATCCCATGGTTCTCTCATATGGCGGTTACTCATCAATATATAATTTGAATACATTTGAATATATATATATACACACAATTATATATACATATATAACTTCAATCTTTGGGGGGTAGTTTTGGCATTCAATCTAACGACATTATGAATTTCATGCCCGGGATTTCGGAAAAACATTGTTGCCTCGAAGGAATCTCTCAAAGCCCCCTTGGGTCCAATTTCCTTCAAATCATCCCAGCACGTGATGTAGCGCAGTGCAAAGCCCAAAGGATAGCTCCTCGGGTTTTGCAATATTTGAAAACCAAATGACCGTGGCCCATTCATTAAGAAAGAATTTGCACACAGCAACCACTGAAGCTAAGCATCCCCGATTTGGACATGTTGTCGTTCCCCTGGAATTTGTTCTCACCTCTTCGGTTCTTGTATTTCTTAACCAGTGCCTTCTTGACTTTGTACTTACGACGAAGCCGAGGGGTCCGAAACTTGATGATCTTTTTTGAGTTCGACCACAAGACACTTCTCTTCGGCGTAACTGAGCCATAGTGCATCATCCAAAAGGCTTGTTTCCATACCTCATGATTGGCCGGAGCATTGTTGTACTGTATATAGAACCCCACCCCAAAAGTAAATGGCATGCAAGCTAGGATACAATCAGTCTTCGCAATAGCCATTGAAATCGTGTATGTCGAAAGATTATGCTTGTAAATGGCTGCTCCAGTGTCCATGTTCCAAACTTCGCCTGGATCAGGAGGGCCAAAAGGCAGAACCTGAACGGAGCGGCAGGCACTGGGTTAAGAGACCTGGAGCCATTCATGACATTCATGTGATTTTTTTCCACATAAGTGGGACCAATCAGTGAACAGAGTTGCAATGGGTTGACATTTGGCACACTGTGGCACATGAAAACTGAACATATTATATATATATATATCCCTGGATATCCCTGATAGGGCCAATGAATTCATGCTCTATACGTTTCCGTGGGGTTGCGACATCCCCGCCTTGATACCATTTTGTTTGCAAGTTGCGCGCTGGCCGAAGTCAAAGAACCCATTGGTGCCAGAAAGTGTCGTAACGTTGACCCTCGACTAGTCACTACCCATGATCCACAGGTCAACCCAAAATGGGCTACCAAGTGGTCCTTGCAATTAAGAATCGTCATGATCATCAACCTTGGTTCCCACAAGATTACCGAACTATAGATCCAATCAACATCTCAACAAATTGCAGATCAAATGAGGCGGTTCGAATGTAAAACCAAGAAACAAGAAGCCCGAAGTAGATAACATATCTAATGGGTTCGTGTTGGTCTCAATGTTTCTTTCCTGGGAATACCCCTGCCAGTCCAGAATGTCAAGACCTGCCACTCGGTACCCAGCAAAGCGCAGGCATCGAGATAGACGAGCTTTGCCACAGCAAAACTCAGCTCCGTCCAGCTCCTAGCACGTTTGCAGGGCAGCGGCGATGGAGTCATGGAGGGGAATCTGTGAGGGTTGTTGATGGGAGAAGCTCAGCACACATCAAAAGATTCAAACATTATATGATCATAAATATAAAGTATATATATTATATATATATATATAAACAATTATATATATTATATATATACAAATATAAATGTATACCATAATGATTTCACTCGGTGTCCTCATTGATTTTCACATTGGATTGACATTGAAGTAGGAGCAACACCAAGATGAAAACCTTAGCCAGGGCCACAAACACTTTGGAACCCCTAAGCCATTTGAATCCATCCCGTGTTCGAATGATTGTCTGATATATCCCCCTTAGATCCAAGAAACTCCTGGCGTTCCCATGTGACGGAGTCTGCCAAACAGACGTGTCTGTTTTTGGGAATCCATTGCTGATTTGAAGTGCCGAACCCTTAAGCCTAAACTGAAGAGTTTAACAAGCTCACCAAGCATATGGCACATGGCCACCGCTAACATCCACATCACTATCTATAGTCTGAAAAATGTACACCCAGAACCACCCCTTTGCATGCATCGGGCATAGCAGGGCCGGGGGTGGGCGCACGTTTCAGAAAAGAGTTCTGGATCTTGAGCTTGCGATACAAACTCATAGTCCAGGAGATAGCTGCACCTCCAGCCATCGGTGGTTGAGAAGAGTTTAGACTTTGGAATGGTTTTCAGGGATGGATGGCATATGAAAAATAAACAAACAAATAAGTAAATAATATGATTGATTAATATAATATTATAGTTGGATGGTGCAAACCAAGATCCTTATTCCAACCTTTTGTGGCATCTCAACCCAGGTCTTATCTTTCATTGGTAAAAAATTGGAAGCCAAAATGCACTTGGTTTTGGGTTCCCTTTGGATGCAGTGAACCAGGAAAAACCATGTTTAACTATTATGGGGCATATGGGTAAGGCGGCATGTTAGATGTTCACTCATTGGGTGCAACAAAAAATTGGAGGAATAAAAAAAAACATAGTACCATCCGGTAAGTTCACATAGACCCTGCCAATAAGGCTTGGAAGATTCGTTTCCACTAAAATTGATTTTTTCAGGGTATATCACCAGAAAGTGTAGCCGTAACCCCTGTAATGCATCCATTTCTGTGGTGACCTCCCCACCCTTTCCGGCCAAAGTGGTGGCACATGTTTTTCCCCAAATGCTCCATCTAAAGATCACGGCTGCCACAAATGCTAGTCACAAGCATCAAGGGCATTGCCTTGCCACCAGAAGCCACCCCGCAAAAAAAGTAAAACCAGGATGGTCGACACATTATATATATATAATGTACCGAAAAATATTAGTTTGCATGCATGAAAGTATAATTCAAACATCAATCATGCGCTTGGGCTGGCTGATCCCCACAAAATGTAATGGGACCCAACTTCGATCGATCATCTAATTTCTCCTCGGCCTTGGCTTAAACCCTGGCCTCTTGCAGGTTTTGCAGCCTTTGGCTGCATGTCTGCATCTGCTGCAGCCAAATGTTGTTGCGGGATCTGCCTCTGCCTTTCCCTGCCTGCATTTTCTGCAGCCTTTGGCTGAAAATTTACAAGCCTTGCAACCCGCAGGACTGAAATCATCAGCCCCACCGGTTTCATCATCATCACTCCTCACATCCATTGGAACTCTGCTCCGCTTGCGCTTGCGCTCCACTGGCTTGGGCACTTCCACGCGTGCATCCTTGGATTGTCCTTTTTCTGTTTCACTGCCATGGTCTTCGTTTTCACACGTAGCTGACTTCTTGGGTTCTCTTGTTTTCTTGGTTTTTTCATGTTCACCCTTTGAATCATTAGTGTTATGATCCTTAGACTTGGCCCTGGGGGTTCTCTTGCGACGAGGCTTCTCATCCTCCTCCGTCTCCTTCCTTTCCTCCTGATCCTTCTTCATCTTGATGCTGTTTTTCCTTTTCACCCTTTGTTTTCTTTCACCCTTCTCCTTCCTTTCCTCTTTCTCCTTCCTTTCTCCTCCTGTTCCCTTCTTGTCCCCCTCCTTGTTTGTCTTTCTACCACGACGGGCCGATGGTGCCTTATCTTCTCCATCCTTTGGTTCCCCCCCGCCCATCTTGCGCCGACCCCTCTTGGCTGGCATCTGCTTCTTGCGCAATGCCGTCTGGGCATCAGGTGTCACAGTGCGTGTCACCTGCGGTGGACAGTGGCCAAAATTCCAAATTCCACAGCCAACCTATTCTAAGGTACCAGGGTTCAAATTTTATACATGATTGGTGTTTTTTTTAAATAGGAGGTCCCCAAAACCATGGGCTTCAATACTACATAAAATGATCATAATTTTAGATAATTGGGGGTACCCCTATGTTAGGAGACCTGGTGCCACATTAATAAAGCAACAGATCGATATAATATTAAGATATGTGTGTGTGAATATACCCGCATGTTTTGGAATAACTCCAAACTTTGGGCTATGGAGATGTGACCCCACCTTCGTTGCCTTCGGTTTCGGGTGATCAGGGATTGGTGCTTCTTCATAAGGTAACGTGTCAGCCTCACAGTGGAAGAAAAGAGACGGTAGGATCATTCTTGGGGCCAACAAGTGATATATATATATATTTTTGTTTTCTGAAGTTCTTAAGGCAAAACCGGTATATATTATATATATATATATATTCATAATTCATAGTATATATATGTATGTATATATATACATATATATATATATATTTAATATCATATAGTATATTTATATATATAATACTATATTAATATTTTTTTCATGGGTCTTAAGCCCTCTTGAGGCCCCAAAAAAATGTGTGGGTGACACTGGGTGACCAACTATCCAGCTTGGGACCAGCCTGGTCAAGATTTGATCCGACCGAATCAGGTTGCTTGCTGCGAAGACGCCGAAGAGGACGTCCACGTCCACCTTCAGGACAGACGGTGGGCTGCTCCTTGGTGGTGGGCTCCATGGGCTTCGCGGGCTCCTTGTCGGTCTTGTTGCTAGGGGAATCCTCCAGCATGATTGGACCTGCAGCCGTGTGGAATACCCATAAAAAAGGGATCAGGCAAGGCCTATAGCATACCAATTTCTATTAGATATATCATACAACATCTCAAACATGGTATGGGCGAAAAAATCAAATATATAGTAATCATGGCGTGGAACTCGTTGGAGCGGGCGGTGCTTCAGCATCTCGCAGATTCCTTGTGTGTATGACATATCATACAAAAAAAGATGTTGAATGCATATAAGATACCAAGTTGGGGCCACTAACACAAATAATTAATGTGGATAAATGTTGATCAAGTTACTCCTCAAACTCCTTGATTTGAATCATGAGCTGGTCAAACTGAATCTGACGCTTGCTTCTGCCAGACCCCGATGATTGTGTTGGTGAAGATTCCGCATGCCCTGAAACTTTCTTGGATGGAGGTTTTGGTTCCTTAGGATGCCCTTCACGTTCAAGTTTTTCATTGGGCTTTCCCTTGTCATCATCCAAATCACTGTGCTCAGGGTCCGAACCATCAGATTCACTTTCACTAATTGACCCCATGCAGCTGTCTGCATCGGCGTCCTCTTCGGAGTCACTGGAATCTTTGGGAGTGGGCCCCATGCGTTTGGCTTTGGCAACCCTCAAGTCACGAATGAGCTTGAACAAGGCCCTGACATGCTTGTCCTTACATTTGGCAAAGTGGGGACAAGAATGAACATATTATACACCGAATTATACCTTAAAGTCAGTTTTTTTGCCCAAAAAAGTTTACTCGTTTTTTGGTTGGGTTCACGCGACTTTTGGGTGTGAAATAGATACCCCCCGAGCGCGCGAACCCAACCCCCAAAAAAATTAAAGTTTAAACGCTTGCTGAGTCAGATACCGACGACTCAAAGGAGAATAAATCTTTGGAGACTTGTTCAATGGATGGTGAATGGTGTAAGATGGGGTAAGTAAATATTATACAAATTGACCTTGTGAAAGGCAAGGGTCACGGGGAACCTGCCCACGGCGGTGAGCATCCTTCTGCCGACGGGCTGTGAACCGAGTTAACTTCCTCAAATCCCACCCATCAACATAGAACTGGTTCTTGTCCTCTGGAATGTACGGGATTTTCTCAAAGAGCTTTCTGGCCTCTAAAGGGTATTGACCCTAAACATAAACATTTGTTTATAAACTGTATGATTCAAACACAAAACAAAGGTGAAAACACACACCTTGCAGTTGAACCCTTCAACACTGAAACCTTTTAATCAAATAGCCAGACCTCGCGCTTCAAGCAGTGAACGGATTGAAGCTTGAGCCCATGCACTTGAAAAATGGTGGTGAGGACTTCATGATTGGCAGAGATCGCTTCTGTGGACGTCACGATGTCATCGTTGTCAACACCTTTTGGAAACTTAAGCCACGGAGTGCCATGCCTGAAACGTCGACGAACCCTGTCGATCTTCTCCCACTTTGGGGCTAGAACGGGCACGAATGTTTTCCCTGTGTGCCTCCTGATCCCCATGATCGAATCAAGGGGCCCCAAATGATCCAAAACACTGCTGCGATTTTCACAAAGGTCGTGAGACTGGGTTTAAGTTGGGGCTCATCCCATCATCATTGTCATCACCACCACCACCACCATCATCATCATCATCATCGTCATCATCATCATCATCCATCATCACATCATCGCCATCATCTTCATCATTATCATCATCAACAACAGCACCAGCATCAGATTCCATGCCAACTTAAGTCCAGCCATCTCGTATGAAATTACTCATAGAATACAGTGATCGTGATTGCCATTGACCAATAACAAAAAATATTTTGCATACATCATCGTGATCTTGGACATCATCATCGGTCATGCTTTATTGCTAACCCTTGCCATCAAATCACCGATAATTCTTTCCTTAGCATCACCGGTAGACAGGCATTGCCATACGTTCCTTTATACAGATTGATCCAAACAAATCATAATCAGGATCTATCAATATAGCTGTGGGGCATCCCAGTCCCGCCAAAGTCCCATACTTCAGGTAATTAATCTTTAGTGCATCGATCTATGAATCCCCATCCTCATATATAAACCATGCAGTCATTTAGCCAGAATCTATCGGAGAGTTTTTGTTGGGGAGTTGTTGCCATCCCATGCATACAAATATATCACCAAATAAACTCGTTATAAACCAACAGTACAGATTGTCCGAGATTTTGTGTCCACTGCATCGATCTATGTTTATTCTTGGTTTGCACCATCATCTAAAGGCAGACCAGTTATTTTGCCACTCATAAATTTGTATATTCCCTGGCCCCACCAAGCCATGGGCGCCTGCCCAATCATGATTGCTGATCGCTTCCTTTCCGTCACCTGCATTGGGGCAGTCGATTGTTTAGAAGCCATGCAATGTTTTGGTGTAGGGAGGGGAAGGGTGAAGGGCCTGTAACAATCTTGGGTTTCATTGACGACTGCCTCTTTCACCCGAGCATGCCCCGACATGCATGTCAGCGCAGGAGCCTCTCGTTGCAAGATTTCAGAGGCCAGCAGCAGGGAAACGATCGACCACCTTCCAGTATGGCATGGTGCATGCTTCATGCGGGAATCTTCACAAACCTATACCCTGCAAATCATTTCTAAAAGTTGAAAAAATTGAAAGGGTATCGACTTGATGGGTTTTCAATCTTTGCATCAATTTCTACTCCGAATCGGGTGTGTGGGCCCCTTTCACCCGATCACGAACACAGCTCGCTGTGCGCAAGGCTCCATTCCAGAGTGAATAGAGAAAAAGACGTTTCACCAGAAATTAGAACAGTGGTCACACCGACAAGGGGCGCCTTAATCTCATCCAGCACGGCCACCACCAAGAGCAGCATGACACATGGATTTCAACATGGCCGGGGCAAGTGTCAGGTAAATAGTTCCAGGAGCAATGATCTCACCACGGTATATTAACCATTGTTTAAATTGCCCTCTTATCATGATGGGATGTGATGGGCTTTCTCTAGACACATAATGGTAAAAATCATCGAAAACGGTGGTAGCAATGCTTGAGTTATAGATCCTTGGCGCTGAAGGTGCTCAAGGAAAGGTCCGTGTAGGGATTGACCTATCCAATATCAGCCAAACAGCTCGAGAACCCCTAAATTTCAAGGATTTCTCCAAAGTTGCATAAAATCAATGAAGTTACCGAAATAAGCGCCACTTCCTTAAAGACGCTGGTTTTCTGAAAGTTTCATTAAAAAACTTACAACTATGGCGCTTCAGGTATATATACATACATTATGCACATGCAACAACATAGTTTAAATACATTTAAATACTGCATATAGAATTTGAATGACATAGATATATGCTACAAGTCACATGTATATGTATTTTGCATACCAATATATATATATATATGCATGTACATGCTATATAATAAATTCATTGTAAATGACAAAGACACCCGCAATGGCAGGCGTCTCACTTGCGACTGTCACTCACTTGCGACTGCCATGACTTACTTACGACTGTCAAATTGGCCCACTTGTAACTGTCCTGTTTCTTTGGACTGGGGCGGGGTGGGGCAATTCCGTTCACTCGGACTTCAAAGTTGGTAGTTGGGTGGGGTTGGGTGAGGTGAGACCATAATTTTCAGGTTGGTTGTGAGGGTGGGGTGGGGGGTGGGGCAACCGTTCACTGGGGCTTCACACAAGTTGCTAGGTGACGATGAGGATGACAACAATGAAAGTGCTGATTCATGGTGGCATTGAGGATGATGATGATTCATGGTGGCATTGATGATGATGATGATGTTGACGACGACGATGTTGATGACGATGATGTTGATGATGATGATGTTGATGATGTTGATGATGTCGATGATTAAAATGATTATGATGGATCGAGACAATTACCAGCGAGCAGATTCGACAGTCGCAAGGGAGTCACCGCCCGCAAATCCACCTGCACATATCTGGGTAAAGATACCCTCCATGGAATCCGTTGATTGTTCATGTGGCAGTGTGTCAAAACCTTGTACCCCTGGTGAACATCAAAACAGCTGGTAAATGGATGTTCATCCCCCTAAAAATGGTATGTATAGGTATTGATCCATAGCCATGTCATGTAGATCTTCAATTCCAAAGAAAGACATCGAAGTGTACCCAAAGCCACAAGAATTTGTGTTTCAATGGAAAGTACGTACTGTATTGTACTTATAGACATTTAACTTGTGTTGCTAGCAAACAATGATTGTGTTACTACAACAACAACAACAGCAACAACAGCAACAACAGCAACAACAGCAACAACAGCAACAACACCAACACCAACAACAACAACAGCAACAACAACAACAGCAACAACAACAAGAACATGGCCCTATCTACTACTTCACATGGATACCATTCCACTGATTTGGGCTGAACAGTTCAAGGCATGGTCATGCATGCTTATACAAACAAAAAGAAATAAAATAGCACACACAAAAACCAACAAACATGGCATTTGCTACGAGAAAAAAACATATATTGCTGTCCCCGTCGCAAAGAGTATCCAACAGAGCATAAGGATTGAATTTATGTTTGGCCTGGAATAGAACATAATACGTAAATAGAAACATAATATGAAAAAAACTAGTGAACCATTAGATATGAATCCAATTTGAAAGCAACTGCACCTTCAACCAGCTCTGCGGTAAATTGTAAATATGGGCAATGAACAAAAACATGCCTCTTCCACTCCCAATCTGGGTGTGGGTTGCAATTTTCCTACTTACCTGATTTCCCACTCATGTTGCGCATCACAAAAACAGCAAGGTGGGGTGGATTCATCATCAGGATCCAACTTGCAAAAGTTACCAAAACCGCAGATTAGCCCCAGAATGTATCGTGATGTGTCTAAATCACAAACCTCAAATTCATCGCATTTTGTCATGCTTCACCCAAGATCACACAAGATCTATAGTATGACTTCAGTTGTGAAAATGTGTGACCTATTGTACGTCAAATAGCAAGCCCCAAACTTTCAAAAAAAATGGTAAACATCATGATCCATTGGAACCTCTTCAATCCTTTCAGGAAAATGCGACTAAAATCCCACAGAAAATAATGATGTCCGGCTAAATTTCTAAATATGTCACTAGGCCTTTCGGGAACGGATAGTTATCCCTAACTATATTCCAGTGAGGTCGCAGTGATATCCTTTTTTTGGGGGTTGCCCTTTGCACAGCTTCCGAACCCGCCGACTCACCTCCTCCTCCTCCTGGGCCTGTTCTGCCAAGGCCTCATCGTGATGTTTTGGGTCATTTTCTTACTGGTGCTTAGCAGGGAATGGATGGGAATGGGGGTTGCTGGGATTATTATTAATAGTTATTGTGGATCATTCCCTCATTCCCTACGTTTAGCACCAGTAAGCTTTGGTGGGACACCAATGGTGAAAAGAGGTAGACCATGGTAAACCATTGTGGGATTGGAAACTAGGCTAAATTCCAATTCCAATGGATCATGATTGATCATTACTCTGACAGAAATGGTCACTTGGATACCCATTTTCACACAAACCCCAATCTAAACTAATCTAAACCACTGTGAACATGGCTATAAACCGATGTATTTTAGGGTGTTCCCCCATGGAATAGCCTGACCTGGCATCATCTTTTTCTGGGGTCTCCCCGTTTTTTGCCGATGAAATCGCTGGGCATTCACCGAAAAAACAAACAACTCAAAGTTATATACAGTAAATGTATAAATAACTAGAATAAGTAAAATAAATAAAATGAATATATAATATATATATATATTATATATATAATTATATAATATATATACATATATATATATATATCATCATTCATTCATTCACGCCACTCTGAAGCGTCCAATCTTCATGGGCGAGCGGGGGGCTCTTGCCCCGAAGCTGATCACTACAGCTGTTGCTGCAGTCTCGCGCCACAAAAGGGCTTACACGAGCACGGCCCCAAAAACACCAAAGCAACATATATATATATATATGTATACAGTATCAGAATCATACTGTAAATTTAATGTTCATACTGGCTGTTTCATGTTGATGTTTGTAGCTGTGGAAATCCCACTGTATAAACCCTCGTTGGCTCAACCCAAAGTTGTCGTTGCAAAGTAGTTGTATCATGTTGTATCATCTTAGACAACTACTTGCAACGACATTGATACATCTTATCATAGTTGTATTATCTCTGTGTATCATCTTAGATCTTTTTTGACAGACTCTATGCTCTACACACACGAGCATGCTTCTGCGTGCTACATACAGTCTATAGACAAAACGCTACCAAGTGTTCTGGGGAGCGCAACCACATCATACAAACTGGAAGGATTAAATCCACTTGACGAACCTATATATTATGATGTATATATTATATATGTATATATTATATATGTAAGGTAACTACATTTAAATATACGGATTTTTAAATATACGAACAAGTATTTTAGACTACCTCCGGGAAGGTTTTCCTTGGCCCGCCCAGCCATTTAACCATACGGAATCCAATT